AGGTCCTCTGGCAGCCATCACATTGTGAGATGGGGCAAGACAAGGCTTTCTTCGGGGTTGTTAGCACACAGGCAATGGGGGCCTGCACTGAGGGAGGAGGGAAATGGACAGAGAGGGAATCCACAGGAGCTAGTCACTGATTGGATGTGACAGGATGGGAGAACTGGCTGTCAATTATACCTTCTTTCTTCAGCAAACTGAGTCGATGGCTCTGCATTTCAGCACCATAGGAAAGAAACCATTGGCGGAGAAGCCAGTGTGCAGGGGAATGGCAGGTCAGTTTTAAAGCACACTGAATTGGAGAGCCTTGTGAAATATCAATGGAACTGCTCAGAAGGTCATCTGGATGAGCTCTTCCCTAGTAGGTGTCGGTTTTGTTTGGGGTGACAGCTCAGTTCAAACTCTCTCCTAGACACTTCTGCCAGTCTCCCCAGACTCTCTGTCATTGTCTCTGAGCTCTCACGGTTGCTTCTGGCCAAATAGTTCTAAATGGATATCCTCGGGTGAAGGTTTTGGAAAGGATATTGTTTTCCTGATAACAAAGAACAGGCCCAGCCTGGTATGTGCCCTTTGTCCCTACGCTTGCCCTTCCTTCCTCTTGCCACATCACAGTTAGATGCTTGGACAAGCAGTAGTGATCTTATGACCATGGGGCTGAAAGCCCTATCCTGAGACCAAGAAGACACTCTGCACTAGGCAGTTGAGGTAGGAACTTGGTCTGTTTACTATTCGAGGAAAAAAAATTTTTTTGTTTTGTTTTGTTTTGGATTTCTCTGTGTAATCACCCTAGCTGTCCTGAAACTCGCTCTGTAGACCTGGCTGGTCTTGAACTCGCAGAGATTTGCCTGCCTCTGCCTCCCGAGTGCTGGGATTAAAGGTGTGCGCCACCAGGCCCAGTTAAAAAATCCTTTCTTTAGTTAAGGTGCTGGAACTATTTTTTTTTTTTTTTTTGTCATTTGTAACAAAAACATGATCTTAATTGGTTCAAGAGCTAAAGCCCTGGAGACAGATGTGGGTTAGAGATTGAGATTCAAGCCAGCATCGAGGCAGTAACTGACAGCTCTGAGGTGCATGTGAAGAACAGGCACCGATATGTACACACATGTAAATGGTCCTTATGAGTTCAGAGACTGAGAGGGCTGCCTCCTAGGTGATGTTGAGAGAAGGCGTTCCTGTTCATAGGGCAAGAATTCTTATATTGTTTTCATATTGTTGACATTTCTATAATCCCATTCAAAATGAAACAGTCCATTTGGGGTTGTTTGGTGAAGACTCAACCCCCTGAGATGTTATTTTGTTATCACATTCAAGGTGCCTAACCAATGGTTTGCAAGCTCTGGTCCTGTGTAGTGATTATCTCCCAGGGTGGCACATTTGCGGCTCAGGAGCTGATCTGGGAACCTCTGTTCCTCTGTGCTTCTCTTTTTCTCACAAATCAGCAAGCCCTGGAGGTCTGTCCTGGAATGCTGGTGCAAGAATTGCCCAGGACTGTGTTGCAACTTAACATGACCGGGCCAGCCTTTGTCAAGTTCATTGCCACAGCCCCTCGGCTTGCCGGATTCTTCTCTTCTTCCCTTCTTGCCCCACTATAGCCTGGAAACCTATTCTGCCTAGCCTACAGATTTGGACATTTTATTATCTTTTTCCCCTCCCGCTTCTGTTCTTGCTAGGTTATGCAGCAAGGGTCTCATTACAGTACCTTAGGCCAGAGCTTTCAATCCTCAGATGAACAGTTGTTCTTGCCCTGCCCCCACCTCCGCACACAAGCACACCACTCGAAACGCCTCATTCTGCTCGCCTTTCTCTTGCCCTTTCAAGCCCTTGCAGGCTGTTTTCTTGCCCAGAAATGTCTCTCTACACGTTCTCTTACAGACTGCCCAACTCACAGCAGCCAGATTTATCTTCCGCTTTTTCCAGCAGCTGGGAATGGCTAGAGCCCAACTCCCTGTCTGTTCCTCTCTCTTAATCCTTCCTTCAAGTTCCTTACAAGTCCTGTTGGTTTCTGTGTGCTGATAATATGGAAAATGTGCCCCTTCCTCATCAGCAGTGCTGTTCACCAGTTCAAGAGCTTCAGGTCTTGTCTGGTTGATCTGCCCTCTCTTCGGCAAATGTATCCCATCAATGTTATCTGCCTTCCCTTTGGCAAATGTACCCACATTAATGTTATCTGCCTTCCCTTCATCAAATATATCTACACCAATCTCTTGCTTAAAACCCTTTAGGCTCCAAATGGAATTGTCCTTGCAGATCTGCCAAGTCTCCATATAAGGTGGATAGTGAAACCCAACACAGTGCTGGCCCTTAGAGAGCCCACACTGCTCTTGTCTGCTCAGATCATAGCCCCTTCCTCTGAGCTCCTAGATCAGCTAGGCATAGGAGATTCAAATAGGACCCTCACACTAGAATGCCTAGGTTCCAGCCTTAGGTCAGATGCGTGTTATCTGTGTACCCTAGGGAGAAATTTCTAATTCGCCAGGTCAGTTTCACCATATGGATCAAGGAAGTATTTGATAATACAAGCAGTACTTGATTTGTGGGACTGTTACATTTCAAAACTATCTAGGAGCAGAGTGCATGTTTGTAAGTATTAGGTACTATGCTTGTTACAGTTATTTGGACCCATGGGGGTATGTATATTTGTTTTGTCTTCTTCAATTGTCTACAAAACTATTTGACACATGTTTATTAAGCGTTTACTGCAAAATGAATTTGCTAGCTCACTTGGTCAGGGTGTCTTGTCACATTTTATTTTGGCAGTTAAATTAGTATCAGGTTAAAAAACAGGAGCTTTGCTATTCTACTCTGTATCCCCAATCCTGAGCTGAAGTCCTGGTTTCTAGTAGAGGTTCAATTCATTTTTGCCAGTTCCCATGTAACATGATCTTGTGTGAGTGTATGTGCTGGTATGTGTGCATAAATGTATGTATGCAGGCCAAAGATAAACTTCAGGTGTCATTCATATTTCATATGGAGAAAAAAATAGACTATGGAATGTCTTTCTTACTTTCTTTTCTTTCTTTCTTTCTTTCTTTCTTTCTTTCTTTCTTTCTTTCTTTCTTTCTTTCTTTCTTTCTTTCTTTCTTTTTTGGCTTTTTGAGACAGGGTTTCTTTGTGTATCCCTGGCTGTCCTGGAACTAGCTCTGTAGATCAGGCTGCCCTCAAACTCACAGATCTGCATGCCTCTACCTCTCGAGTGCTGGGATTAAAGGCGTTCACCACCACCACCTGGCTTAACTAATACTTTTTTAAAAAGCAAATACAGATGTGCCTTGACTTACAGTGGATCACCTCTGACAAACCTATTTGAGTGGCATCCCATTGTGACTAAAGATGTGCATCTCTCCCTTTTCTTTTTCCTTTTGGTCATGGCTTATCTGACTCACTTAGAAAACAGCAATGGTATAATCCTTGATCTGTGCTCTTTGTTTCACATAGTGTGGCCAGGTAAAACCTTGCAGGCTGGATCACAAAGTATGGAAAGCAAGGTCTCCATTCAAGCAGCATGACTGTAGGATAAGAATGAAGGACAGAGGGGCTCTTGGGTGTGAGAGTTAGGGAGGTCTTCAGGGAGCTGGGTTTTAAAGGAACAGTGGGGAGTTGGCCTAATTCAGGAGCAAAGGAAGGACTATGGAAGCTGAGTAGCATCTATCTTCATAACCTGGAGAGCACAAAAGACAACAAGATGTGTCTATTATTTTTAAATTTTTCCTTATTATTATTATTATTAGTGTGTGTGTGTGTGTGTGTGTGTGTGTGTGTGTGTGTGTGAGTGAGTGTTGCCTGTAGGGAGGTCAGAGGACAACTTTGTGAAGTCAGTTTTCTCCTTGCATTTTTACAAAGTTCCTGAGTGAGATAAGACTCAGGCTGCCGGCTTCACATGCGGAATGTCTTTAGCCAAATCCATTGAGCCATCTCACAAGCCTATGTTTACGTTCTTAACAGCCCAGTCTGGAGACTGAGGTGTCTTCCAGTCCTGATGTTGTAAGCAGTGGGAGGCTAGTGGTTGACAAGTGAGTAAGTCTCACTTAAGAAGGCAGAAAACGTTATGCATAGACACCCAAAGGGAAGTCACATACTTTTAGTGCTTTATCCAGTGTATATTTTATTTTATTATTTATTTTATTATTTATTTATTAATCAATTATTTATTTATCTATTTATCTATCTATTTATCTATTTATCTATCTATCTATCTATTTATTTATTTATTTATTTATTTATTTATTTATTTATTTATTTATTTATTTATTTATTTATTTATTTATTTATTTATTTATTTATTTATTTATTAATTTTCGGAACAGGTTTTCTCCGTGTAGTTCTGGTGCCTGTCCTGGATCTCGCTCCGTAGACCAGGCTGCCCTCGAACTCACAGAGATCCTCTTGGTTCTGCCTCCCGAGTGCGTGCGCCTCCGCCGCCAGGCCAGTGTATACTTTTAAAGGATGCCAACACCTATTTTTTTAGTCTGTCCATTCTGAGTCGTTGCCCCCTTTCTTTTGTCTCCACAGGACACTCAGAGTGACTTCCCGGGAACCGCCGGAGCTGGCTAGGGGTGCTCTTTTTAGTCTCCTCCTTTGAGGCCTGCGGCCAGAGTTAGACGCCGAGGTGCCTCACTGTGCAAGTTTAATCTAGTCCTGGGCTTGCCAGAGAAAGGTTTCATCTCACACTCGCCCCAATTAAACCAGACCGCCCACACACTAATAGAGGCTTGGTCCCATCCAGACCGGAAAGAGGGTGCTAGACGCCTCCAACCTTGCGCCACGGGCGTGTAAAGATCGGCCGGGCTCCCCGCTTTCCCAACTCCTCCGGCTGATCACTACTCCCCGGGGCCCAGGAGCGACCGGGTCACCCCCGAACCATCAGGATAGGCCCTGTGCGCCTGCCCTGGACGCGGTGGGCGGGGCTGTGCAGAAGGGAGAGGCGGTCCGGAGGCGCGGTGGGCGGGGCCTGTCGCTGGGCAGGTTCAGTGACGCCTCTGGCCCCGCCCCCGCCCTTCTGGTTCGGGTGGGGAGGGCGCCGGAGAGCGCGCGTTGCCTGAGCCGGCCGGGGAGCGGCCGAGCAGAGTGTGGGGCGGCGGCGCGATGGCTCCGGCTGGGGACCGCGAAGGCTACTGGGGCCCCACGACCTCCACCTTGGACTGGTGTGAGGAGAACTATGCGGTGACCCTGTTCATCGCTGAGTTCTGTGAGTGGGGGCCTGAGGCGGGGAGCGAGGGCGCGCGCTGAGGGGCGACGCGGCGTGTGGAGAACGCGGAGGGCGAACCTGGCCGCGAGGGGAGGCTCCAGGCCGGGCCCGGGAGCGGCAGCCGGGCGTGCGTGGCCGGGGGAAGCCGGGGAGCCGGCGAGGCCGCCCGTTGTGCCGGGGCTGGCTTCGGGGGGCCTCCAGGTCGGGCACGGAAGGGACGTGGGAGCCGCGCCTGGACCTCCGAGGAGAGAGTGAGGCGCGCGGCTGGGAACGGGAGTTCCTACCTGAGCCGCTGCGGCCAGGCCGGGCGCTGCCCGTCCTGAGGTCGGGGCTGAGGAGGTCTCTGTCACGCGGGCCCTGGGACGCCAGCCCGACTGCTGCTACCCGCCTCAGCCGGCCAGCCGGGCACGAAGGGGACGCTTACGGGCTTCATCCTCCCCCAGTCTGGGAAACTCTTCGGGGCCCTTCCCTTCCTCTCGCCGTTCTCATTAGACCTCGCTCACCTCCAGGGAACAGTTACCGTTTCTCGTAGCCGAAGCCCCCCGCCCACCCCCCACCCCCACTCTCACCCCTACCCCGGTGTCTGCAAGTGCCAGCGATCGCTGTTCATCTTGCACCAGAAGTGGAAAGCCTGAGCACCTAGTCACTACCTTCCTGCTCCAGCCACTCTCCCAAGAGCACCAGAGACTAAGTCTCCTTGCTCCCCTCTTCATCTAGCTTGTCAGACTTGCTGGGGGTTAATGGTCATCTGAGGACACTTCTTTCCATGAATGCACCTTCTGAATCCGCGATTGGCTGCTGTTCTCTGTGTCTCTGTCTTTCTCCGTCAGTCTCTGTCTCTGTCAGTCTCTCTGTCTGTCTCTGTCTCTCTGTCTCTCTCTGTCTCTCTCTGTCTCTCTCTGTCTCTCTCTGTCTCTCTCTGTCTCTCTGTCTCTCTCTCTCTCTCTCTCTCTCTCTCTCTCTCTCTCTCTCTCTCGTGTGTGTGTGTGTGTGTGTGTGTGTGTGTGTGTGTGAGAGAGAGAGAGAGAGAGAGAGAGAGAGAGAGAGAGAGAGAGAGAGAGAGAGAGAGAGAAAGAGATTCCTAGATGATTATTCCTACCAGGCTAGAAAGAAATCTGCCACTTTTTCCATCCAGTTTAGCCAGCTTTTGAGAGCACAGTGTTTTATCATTCTTTTTGTTTGTTTGTTTCTGGCAAGAAGCAGAGAATAAATAGTCTTTGGTTGCTACTGCCACTGCCTTCTTTTGAATGGGCCCACTTTACTAGGCCGTGAGGCAAAACTCTTCTTAGCTAACATTCCCATTCTTGAGTCCTTCTCCAGGGCGAGTTTCACGCCAGATAATCCGGCAGAAAGTCTTGCAGTTTTCAGGATGCTAGTCCCATGCCCTTGAGACCATGATTTAGATTGAGCATCACTTTTTCTGAACTACTAGTTTTAATGAATAGTTTTTATACAGTAAAGGAGAAAACAGACAAAGTAATCATTTATAGGGTAATTACTTGGCAACCCAAACATTGGCCAAGGAAGCACTTTGCCAGTTCGTTTTTAGATAGCTTTGGCAAGAATATCAGAGGCTCATGACCACCAGGGAGACTTACAATCATGTTCTCTGAACTGGAAGTGTGTGGCTTTTTGTTTTTCCCTCTTAGGAGTCTTTAGATATTGGATGGGCTTGAAGTTCACTCACTTTCTCTAGAATGTAGAACCAAGTGCAGTGGGTGGAAGAAAATAACTGTAAGGGGAAAGATTTTTTGCTTCAACACAAGGAAAAACCTTCTAACCAGTGATTCTGTCTTGGAACAAATTGGCTTGGGGGTAAAGGGAGCAAGAGCTTTTTGTCACTGAAAGTGCTAAAATAGGCATTGCTCACATAAGTCATTTATTTGAAGAGGAACTGTGTAGTAAAGGTACTAGCCTTATTCAGTTTTATTAATCTCCATAGGTAATAAAGACTTTTAGTTCAGAACTAAGGTTTTAGATTAGAATCAAAAGAGAAAACTGGCAGTTGAGTCATGTGAACTGTGAGAGAGGAAGATACTAGTATTTTGGCAAATAGCTCTGAGAAATGGGAAATGGCTTTACTTCTTCATGTCCTCAGAAGAGGAAACTGAGTAGACTGAAGGAAGCCGTTGACATAGCAATCAGAAGGGTTGCGTGAAGAGGGTAAATGAATGTGTTGGCAACTCTTTGTGTACATATTTTGGGAGAAAATGACCTAAAGGAGGTTGAGTCACATTGTCTGACCATATAACATAGTGGTAGATATCTACCATAATTTAAAGTGTGAGGATTTGGCCTTTGAATAATACACAGATTTAAAAAACTGAGTGTGTTGGCACATGTCTATAATTCCAGCACGAGGGAGGTGAGAGCAGGAATTCAAGTCCAGACTCTTCTACATGAAACACTTTCTCAAAAACAAAACAACAAAAACAAAAACAAAATAAGCAAGAGAGCAAAAGATAATTAATACATATATACTCCTGAAGAGTGCAGCTCTATAATATTTACATTAGTGAGTTTTAATGGTAGTATTATCAAGGATAATAATATTTATTATCTAAGTACTCACTATGTACCATAATTTGCTAAACCTTTGATACATTTTACCTCTTGAGTTTTACAATAATTCTCTGAAGGTGTTATTATGCTCATTTCACAGATTAAGAACTTGAAATGTTCATTTATTTTTAATTTGTAGTTTAGTTTTGTTTTGTGAAAGGGTTTCTGTAGCTCAGACACTCCAGATGTTTAATGTGTATTTAGGCCAGGCTGACCTCAAACTCTTGGTACTCTTCCTGTCTTAGCATCCCAAGTCCTAGGATCACAGGAGTGAGCCAAAATCCCTGGAAAGAGCGTATATTTCTTGTATTTTTGGTTGTGAGCCTAGCCTTTAATGGCTGAGCCATGTCTCCAATCCAAGATATAATTTATCCCAAGTTGCAATGAGTTGTACTGAAAGAGTATTCAGGTTGAGGTTGTATTCTAAATCTATTATGCACTTTTGCTTCTCCATCATTGCTTTTATTACACTTACTGTTTTGCCCTTGCATTCAAGGGAGAAGAACAGACATGAAATCCTATATTATCACAAAAGACAAACTGAATGACCGTTCAAGTTATTCAGCCATCTTTCAGCATTACAGTGTATATTTTGGATAATAATTGAGTTTGAGGAACCACAGATGTGGCAGTGATAACGTTCAGTCCTGAAAAGCTGTCTTCTTTTTTTATTTTTTTTTATTTTTTTTTATTTATTTTTTTTTTTTTTGGTTTTTCGAGACAGGGTTTCTCTGTGTAGCTTTGCGCCTTTCCTGGTACTCGCTTTGGAGACCAGGCTGGCCTCGAACTCACAGAAATCCGCCTGCCTCTGCCTCCCGAGTGCTGGGATTAAAGGCATGCGCCACCACCGCCCGGCTGTCTTCTTTTTTTAATAAATTTGTATATCTATCTATCTATCTATCTATCTATCTATCTGGCAATCTCTTTGGTTTTTCGAGACAGGGTTTCTCTGCATAGCTTTGCGCCTTTCCTGAAACTCACTTTGTAAACCAGGCTGGCCTCGAACTCACAAAGATCCGCCTGGCTCTGCCTCCCGAGTGCTGGGATTAAAGGTGTGCGACACCACCGCCCGGCTTTTTTTTTTTTTTTAAGACAGGGTTTCTCTGTGTAGCCTTGGCTGTCTTGGAACTCACTCTGTAGATTAGGCTGGCCTTGAACTCAGGGATCTCCCTGCCTCTGCCTCCCAAGTGCTGGGATCAAAGGCATTCACAGCCATTGCCCAGCTAAAAGCTATCAGCCCATGTTGATTCAAACTTCTTTTAATTTGAAAAGATTAGAAAGACCAGGGGAAAGGAAGAGAGTCTTTTTAGGTAAGAAATAATAAGCCCCTTGCTGTGCTAAAAGTTATGGGGATAAGTGGTTCCTATTTTTTTTTTTTTTTTTTTTGTTTTGTTTTTTTTTGAGACAGGGTTTCTCTGTGTAGCTTTGCGCCTTTCCTGGATCTTGCTCTGTAGACCAGGCTGGCCTCGAACTCACAGAGATCCGCCTGGCTATGCCTCCCGAGTGCTGGGATTAAAGGCGTGCGCCACCACCGCCCGCCCGCTATTTTGTATGGAACTGTACAAATAACAATGCAAGCTAAAATTGGCTAATAATATTTTGTTTGTTTATGTGGCAGAAGGGATGTATACATGCTACATTGTATGGAAGTCAGAGGATGACTTGCAGAAGTCAGTTCTTTCCTTCTACCATATGGGTTCCAGGGACCAAACTCAATTTATGAGGCCTGGTGGCCGCAAAGCAGTCTTATAATTAATAGTAGAAACGTTATAGTTGTTTTATAAACTTTAAAAGGTGTTGTCAAACAGGGCTGGGAAGATGGCTCGCTTACCTAGTGCATACTGCCAGCCTTGTGACCCGAGTTCAGTTCCCTAAATCTACAAGGTAGAAGAGAATTGACTCCCACAAATAGTCCTCTGACCTTTCCACATGCTCCCCTGCCTGCCACCACATACACGAGTGTTTTATTTCTTTGTCAAATAACTTATTATCAAGTGTAGCTTAAACAGTGCTTGCCTTCTCATCACATAACTTGGAATGAATGTATTTCCTATGCATTGACAAATCCTTTCTGAGTTTGGACAATCTTTTAGCATTTTATTCTTTGCGCTTTCCTTATTGTGAAATATTTCCAAGAGTTCCTTTAATTAGAATTGACTTAGTTTTGTTTGTTGTTGGCCACTATCATTCTTTTGGGTTATCTTCAGTTTTTTTTTTTTTTTCATCACAACTGTTGTGTTCATTATGTTGATAAGTTTGCCTTAACTAAGTTCCTCAGGCAGTACATTTTTAGCCTCTTAAATGATAGCAGCATCAACATTTCTGTAATGCGTCTTTTTCTGTCCTGCTAGCCAGTGGGACACGGAGATTTTTTATTAATTATGAAAGCTCAGCCTATAGCTTAGGCTTGTTCTTAACTAGCTGTTTTAACTTAAATT